CATTTTTATTTATTTTCTTAAATAATACTCATTAGAAACATGCAAAACTAGCAACTCAAACTGATTGTGTATGTAATAAAATAAATAATACAAATTAACAAATTAGATATGAAAAAAGACAAGAGAGTAAAAGGGGGAAAGAAGAAAATTCTACTTTAATCTACTTTCTTACAATACCAAAAGTCTTGTAATGGCATTACTACAGCTTTTCATTTCATTTTTGAACAACAAATGAAATCTTGGTCTCCTGGCATCACCCTAGAGCAGGGGTGTCCAACCTTGGCAATTTTAGCACCCGTGGACGTCAACTCCCAGAATTCCCCAGGCAGCCCAGTTGGCTGAGCAGAGAGGGGAGGACTCCCAGGGTGCTGCCCTACAAGTAACCAAAGTGAGACTGGGGTGAGGCCGGGCCTGAAGGAGCAGGGAGCCTGCTGCAATTGTGCCAGTTTTCGTGCCCGTTTGCTTGAGGTCGTCTCAGTTGGCAGTGGACAGTCTGGGCACTTCAACCTGCCATCCTGGGGGCGGTCTCAGAGGTGGTGTGGGAGTTCATGGCCATCATGCAGCCGTGGGCCTGAGGCGGGTTAGGGGGACTTTGACCCGGAGTGCCAGGGCCACACGTGGAGCTTGGCTTTTGTCTCGGACGAGGGATGGATGGGGGGGTATGTTGGCATCTGTGAAGAAAACACTTCCTGGTGACTCTGGAGCTTCTGTAGCCCCCCCCCCCCCCTCCGCCCCCCCCAGCAGAGAACAAGGCTGTTTGACTGACCTCCTCCCAGGCCCCTAATGGACCATTAAGATCTGGCTCTTGCCCAAGGCTCTTCCTGGGCCCAATTCTGGCCCTCCCCCGCAGCCTCTCTCTCTCTCTCTCACACACACACACAGAGGTTGCCACCTGGCCTCCGCTGCCCGTTGGCAGCAGCTTCTCCCGGGCAGTGTTTTGCTGTGGGACTCAAAGGGTGCCTTGCTAAACCCTCCCCAGTCTTATCTCCCCCCAGGCTGATCTGGCCCTGCTGCTACCCACCTACCAACCCACCCACGATGGAAGAGGATCCCCACCTCCCCCTTTCCTTCGCCCTTCCAGGGGATGGCAGAACCTCCCACTCCCAGGGCAGAGGCTAATGGAGGGTCCCTTGGGCACTCGACTCCATTATGTGTGAATCAGACTGTCTGAACGGGGCGAATTGATCGGCTGCCTGCGACTCTTGCTGGCCTGCCTGGGTGATTGGATTAGAGGCTCCTAATGGGCACTGCGGCTGGCTGAGGCCAGGCTGAGGGGGGCTACCAGGGCCAGCGGGCAGGGTGCACTTGCATCAGCCATAGGAGGGAGGGGGGAGCTCTCAAGGGCTGGCAGGGTCTCTCTGACGCCTGAATGGGGAGGCTGGAGGCCCCTTGGACGCAGAGCAGCCCATCCAGGCATGAGGTCAGGAGGGGGAAAGTGGCGAAGAGTTCCCGGCAGCTTGGCCAGGGGACCAGGGGGTGCCCCGCATGTGTGCCAGGAGCGGTTTCCAGAAGATGTCACAGTTTGCCCCTTGTTTCCCAGCAGGAGGGGATTGCAGGGGGAAGCCCAAGCTGGTAGAAGACAGATATTTTTATTTATTTTGTTTATTAATTTAATTTATTTGCCACTCAAACAACTTTGGGCAGCTGGGCTGGGACCAGGTTGCTCTGCATCAGTCAGGTGCATTTGCCAGGTGTTGGGGGGGGCTGGTTCTGTTCCAGTCAGATGTGAAGCCAGGATGCGTTCCTGGGAGGGAGGGTTCTATTAACACGCCCCAAATCGCCATCCTAGATGTGGCGTTGCACCCACATGTGCCCACACCCCTTGCACTAGTGCCCCTGCTGGGGAGGCTTCACGGCCTCACTGCCCCCTTCTCCATTGGCCAAGGTGGCACTGGGGAGGGGGTTGGCCTGGCCTTGCTGGCTCCCCTGCAAACTGCAGCCCACTAAACACCCACCCTTGCAGAAATGCCAATGTCGCCTGCGTATTGGGGTCCAACCTGGGAATAGGGCAGAGGGTGCAGAAGACAAAATATGCCAGGATAGGAACTCCTGCCTCCCCATGGAACAATGGAGGGTGGGGTGTCAGCTGTTGCTGCCTCTCCTTTTCCTGCCCCATTCCTCCCAGCAGTCTCTTCAGGAGGGGGTGGGGGTGTCCCACAGCAGGTGCTGTGATCTCACAGTCCTTCCACCTGGCACATGGAAAGCTGGCATGAGTGAAACCGCTCCCAGGGAGGAGAGAGGTGCCACATAACAGTCGAGAGGCCACGCCAGTAAGTGGCAGCCCAGAGAAAGTGCCCGATGGCACTGTCCAGAGGCGAGGGCTCCACGCCAAGCTTCTTTTCCTGAGCGCAGGCCCACGTGGTTTGGCAGCTGAAGGAAGATGAACCTGGCATAGCTGGCATTCTGGTGCCCTTGGCAGCACCAGAAGGGCCTCCCACACATTGGCCTGGCCTTGGAGGGGCTTTGACGGAGGCTTCCAGAAGCCTTGGATCCCCTCTGGCCATTCAGACGCCTTTGGGTGCCCGTGCAGGGAATGAGGGCACCATCAGGTCCTCCCTGGCATAGAGGTAGACTGCCACTGACCCCGGTGCTTTCAGGCCGCAGCTGCTCTGCTCCCCACGAAAACAAGGCCAGAAGGAAACGCTCCGGCCGGAGCTTCCGAGCTGCCGCCGCCTCTTTCCAGCGCGACTAGCAGACCGCGAGAGCTTTGGCCGCCGCAGCCGCATGCCGAGCCCCTCGGGCCGTGGGTCCCCGGGGCCTGTGGCTCCTGCCACGTGAGGAGCGGCCCAGAGCGAGGCGCGGCCTCCCCCGCTCCGCAGCCGCCCAGCTAATGCCGGCTTAAGGCCGGTTTTGCATAAATGAGCCGAGCACAAAGGAGCCGGGCACTTCACGGGAAGAGCCGGGGAGCTGCAGACGTTGCGCTGAGGATCAATGCTATCAGTAGCCATCAGGCGGGGAGCGAGCGGCAGTCTCCCCCCCACCCCCTCCAGGCATCTCTGCTTGGCCCTCCAGCCGCCGCCGCCGCCGCCGCCTCAGGGGGGATGAAAGGGCCGCCAGCGAGGCGCTTCAAAGGCTGCGGCACCTTTGGAGACCGGCCGGGGGCCCCGATCCGTGCCGCCCCGCCCCGCCCCGCCCCGCCCGGAGCCCCTGCCTTGGTTTCCCCGCTCGCCTTTCCTTCGGCTGGAGCTGAGCAGCGGCGGGAAGCAAAGCAGCAGAAAGATTAGGGCAGAAAGAGGTAGAAGGCGCACACACGTGCAAAACTGGGTTCTGCCTCTGGGTTTGGTAAGAGACTTGGGGGAAAGCTTGTTTGCTCCTGGCGAAGAAGCCCCTGGCATTTCTACCAAGACCCCCTTGCGCAGCCACCAATGGGGGCAGGGATTCGGGGATGGAGAGAGAGAGAGAGACCACCAAAGCAACCACCCTATGAAAGTTGGGGCCAGCCGGGCTGCAGCTGTTCCTCCAAGAGCCTCTCCTGGCTGTGAAGGGCTCTTCTGAGCCTGGAGGGGCTTCTCCGGGGTGGGGGACAGCAAGTCACATCTGGTACATTCAAGGCTAGGAAGGGGCGGGGAGCCAGTGGTGCCAATCTGGCAGAGAAAAGGATAGAGCAGAAATGCCCACACAGGGTGCCGGATGCTGTGGTCCCATATGGGGCAGGGGGGGGGAGGAAAGAAGGCCCTCCACACAAGGAAGAAGGCCGAGGCTCCCAAGGAGCTGATGGGTCCCAGCCCCACTGTTCCTTGGAGGGTGGGTAGAAGACACCAGGCGCCAGCCCCTCTTCTAAGCTTTTAAGTGGCAGCAGGCCCTTCTCTCCCAAAGGTTGGGGCAAAAGGAGCTTTGGGGCAGAGGAGGATGTTGAATGGGCCTCTTCACTGATAGTCTTGAGTCTGCTTGGTTTTCAAGCAGCAGCCCCCACCCCACAGTCATGGGGGGAAAGGGTGTCACCCAGCTGAAATGCAGCTCAGGCCAGGTGCCCGAGCACAGGGCCTTATGCATTGGGGGGGGGGGCTTTAAGGACATTTGCACTGTGCCCACTTCCACCCCCAGGCCACACCTGGAAGCTACAGCGGTTGCACCTCCCCATCCTCCTCAGCTGATCCCCAAGACAGAGGAGCAATTGCTGGAGGCTCTGGCCCTGGGCTCTTTCCTGAGACACCTGCATAGGTGAGCCTCGGCACAGAACCAGGCTGCCTGCCTTTGCCTGCCGAGGCTGGTCCCTCCTGGCCGCTGCACTCTCAGGAGAGGCAGGTTGGCGCTTGCTCGCTTGTTTCTGCCAGGGCCTCTCCTGCAGCAAGAGGCCACCTGCCTTGGCAGGTAAACAAGGATGGCAAAGAGTTGGGAGCAGCAGCAGCAACTCACGTTCGCAGGGCCACCATGGCAACCGTGTGCCTGCCCCAAGTCATCCAGGGCCTGGCACATGCCAGGTGTCACACGCCGCACCTGTTTGTCTCAGGGCCGTTGCGATGCCATCGGGGAACAGTGGTCATAGCTGTCAGTGCCAGGGGCTGATTGCTCTCTGGTGGCTTTTGGACTGGCTGGTGCTTTCTCCCTTTCCCCCTCAGAGGGGCACCCCAGGTGACCTGGATGGGCTCCAGAAGGAGTTTGGGGTGCCCTTGAAGCTCTGGGGGAACCTGACTGAGGTCTTGCCAGTGCCTGGAATTGCCCTACCTTGCAGCCTCTCCCTGGGCATCGGACCAAAGTGTTCCCTGTTTTTGCAAGAAAGTCCAGATGTCCAGAGCACATTGAACTGGGCCAAGGGAGATCCCCGTTAGAGATGAAGTGGCGATCAGAGTTGTTTCTTTCTTTCTGCTGCTGTTGTGTTGGCTGATGGTCACCCGGTGGCCCCTTTCAAGGTGACCGCCAGCTGTTGCTGAGGTGGGAGGAGTCCCAGGGCCACATGCAAGGCCAGGGGGAGGAGTGTCCCCGGCATCTGGCAGATGGAGCTACTTGAATTTGTGCGCCTGGAGAGCGAAGGAGTCGTGATCTGGGTGGGGTGGCTTTGAGGAAGTGGGCAGGACTATATAACCTGGCTACCTTTAGAGACCCCCCGTCGGGTGAAATTCAGCTGGTTCTATCCAGCTCAGGCGAACTGGTAGCGGCAGCTGCGGGAGGCTGGCTCTGCCCACCCGTGCAGACGTCATGACGTTGCTTTTTTGTGTCATTTTAAGCCTCTGCGCATGTGCAGACAGCGCAAACAAACCAGTAGGGAAAGCAAGTGAATTTCACCCCTGCCCCCACTCACTCCTGACTTGTGGAGGTGGCTCCGGAGTGGGGCGTGGGTGGCTCCGTGCAGCAGTGGCCGCTTTGCTGAAGGGGGGACATTTTTGCCTGACTTGTAGCAATACATGGCCTCCTCCAGAAGCCGCTGCTCGACCCAAATAATCCTGGATTATTCTCCACCATTCTCCACCTTCCTTCTCGAGGGAAGCCATCGAGAAGGTGAGTTAGCTCTTCGGGTGGTCCAGAAAGAGAAGCATAACCCCAAGTACTCACCCCAAGCCAGGACCCCGAGCAGCTTCTGCGAAGGCCAGACTGGCTCCTTCTACCTCACCTCCATCTTACTTGGGTCCTGGCCCTGAAGGCACCAGGGGCTGCCCCCTAGGTTGGCTCTGGCTTTGCTGGCCTGAGAGACCGTCACCCAGGGAAGATCTGATGGGAGCCCTTTGTGTGACCTCCAAGCAGTTGGGGCTGCAGTGACCAGGCAACTACCCTAACTGTTCCCAGCCTCTCCCCTCAGCCTCCCCCAACCAGAGAGCACATTCCTTTGAGGGAGGATTCTGAAAGAAACCCCCCCCCCTTGGTCCTCCGCAGCCACACAGGCCATTCTGTTGCCCAGCAAGGAGGGCCTGAGCTTTCTGCAAGGGAAAGGAGGAATCGGAGGCTGGGATGAGCAAGCCTTTCCCCCCTCCTCCCCTCCCCTGCAGGCCGGTGTGGCACCTGGAGCGGCTCCCCTGGCACTCATTTGTCTGGCTTAGGGAAAGGGCCCTGGGGAGCCCCTGGGCTGGGCAGCCTGCAAGATTCAGCCTGTCCAGTATTGATTTTCCCTATTATTACACTTCAGATTTATGGCCGGCTTTAAAATTGCAATAAGTGGCGAGCTGAGAGGTGGGGGAGCAGGGGGGCTCCCTTGTGTCCTTGACAATGGCCTCCCATCCCCTCCTGCTTGCTAGGAGGGGCTGCATGCGCAGAGCAGGGCAGGAACACCTCCTCCCTTACCTTCTCCCCCCCCCCAGGCAAGAAGAGCTGTCTGCATTCTCTTTCCTGCAGCCCCTTCCTCAATAAATGCTCTCCTCAGGGGCTGCTGGGACGAACAGGCTGACTCCTTCTTTCATCTTTTTCTTTATATGTACAGAATTTATGCCCTCCGTGGCCGAAACAGACTCCTAGCGGGTTACAGTCGGTTACAGAGCAACAAAAAAAGCAGGCATTTAAATTAAAACGTCCACAGCAGCAATCAAAATAAAACCATATGCCAGATCCTAACTTCAATAAGTCAGGACCCATAAAACCAGGTTCTCAGGGTGCCCGTCATTCACCCTGCTGGTTTCCTAAAGGCCAAACCTCCCGGAAGCCCTGAGGTCAGTTTGGGCCGGAGGGGGCCCTGCATGCCCATCCATGCCAAGCTACCTGGACCTTTCTCGGCAACAACCATGGCGGCTAGGAAGCCGGTGCAGCAGGTCCCAAAGGGCCGGGCTCTTTTCTCACCAACTGCTGTTTGCAATCCACGTTTCCTGGTTTCCCTTGAAGTGGGGATGAGCCAAGGGGGCACCTGACCTAGATCTGAGGTTGAGCAGAGACCCTCCGAGGCCTCTCAAGGGGTCCCCAGTGGTGCCACTCAGCTGGTCGCCCTCCGCTCACACCCACCTGCCCATGCTTGGAACAAGCGGGCACCCTCCCCTGCTCACGAGGAGCGGACGGGCAGCAACCCAATCTGACAAAGGGAAAGCCCTCCCCTCCTCTTCCAACCAAGGTCTCTGGATTCTGGGGGGGCCTTGGGGGGGCCGTGCAAGTGGCAAACGGGAGCATTTGCTGCCCTCTGCAGCAAAGGCCCGAGGCTGCCCAGTGCCACCCTTGGAGGTCAGAAGGGCTATTAAGCCACAGCTTGCCTGACCAAATTGGGCAAAGACCAAATTATCTCATGATTTTTATGCTCCAGCCTGGCCGGGCGATTACCAGAGGAACAGCTGTTGCTCCATCAGAAAGCCTAATTCCAAACAGCTGGCCTGCTGGCTCTCCAGGGTGCCACCCTGCGTGGCCAGGCTGGCTGTGTGGTTATACAGCCAGCCTGGGGGGAAGCCAGCCCCTCCCTCCCTCCCTCCCTCCCTCTCAGGAAAGCCCACTCAAGGCTGGGGGAAGGAGCTGCCTGGCTTGCTTTCCTGAGGAAGGGGGTGGGGGGGAGGTCTGCCTTCCAGCCCCACCCGGGCCAATCTTAGGACTGCTTTATTCCCCAAACGTTTCTCCCAACCGCTTCCAGTCAAGGCGTCCATGGGAGTTTAGCCGCCTTCACTCAGAAGCAGGTTAAACCCCAGAGAGAAACGTGGTAAAACTACAGAGGGGGTGGTGGTCCTTGGGCTGGAACGGCTGGCCTAGTCCTGTTGATGCTTTTGTGTGCAAAGCCCCCACCCCCAGACAGGGGCCGCTCTAGTTCACCGGTGGCCCCCATAGCTCCATCTCCTCCCCCTTCGTTGTCTGTCTGGAACTGCTTGGGAAAAGTTGTGAAAGGGGCACCCCGAGGGCATCTCAACCTCTCGCTCCCCGCCCTTTGACTTGGAATCACCGAGGGAGAACTGGGGGGAGGGGGGGCACAGTCCCTCCCGGGAAAGGCTGCCCTGCTGAGAGGTGGCGATAAAAACGCGGCCGCCGCGCGAAGGACAGTAACCAAAGCTGCGGGACTCCGGCGACCGACTCGCAGAGAGGCTGACGACTCGTGTCCACGGCCGGGCCGACGGGGCTCCCGGCAGGCTCAACCCTCAACTACTCGCGGCGGGCCAGCGAGTCCGCCCAGGCGGGAGCCGCTCGGCCAGAGCTACTCGGAGCCCACCTGGAGAGGCCGCCGGAGCGCTTCTTTTCGCGGGGCGGGCGGGCGAGACGACCATCCCCTCCGGGCTGTCCGTCCGTCCGTCCCCCGAAGCGCCACGGGGAGGTCGAGTCCGCCTTCGCACGAGCAGGGTCCCCGCGGTGCCACCCCATTCCTAAGAGGTCTGTAAGGGGCGGGCATAAGTGCACCAGCTTTCCTTCCGTCCCTGTCCTAATAATATTCCTTTTTACTCTTAATTCTTTTCATGTATTCACATTATGTTTATACTCTTACCTGTTATCTTATATATGCTTGACAAACAAGAAAGAAAGAAAGAAAAAGAAAGAAAGAAAGAAAGAAAGAAAGAAAGAAAGAAAGAAAGAAAGAGAAAGAAAAGGCGGAGGGGATTCGCGTGAAACGCAACCCAAAGCATTCCCCCCCCCCAAAAAAATATGAACAATTCTGCTCTGCACTGTGTTGGGACCAAGCAGCCAGAGTGCCTGGCATTCTGGGCATTGTAGTCCCAGGCTTGGGGTCAAGAGAAGGAGAAACCTCGGGGCTTCCTGATCGGTTCGCTCCACACTTGCCTTCCCACCCCAGATAATCTAGGGGGCCCCTGATTTTAGGGAGCAGCGGAGGAGGTCGAGGGTATCTCGCCCATCCCCCAGCTCACTTGTTCTCCCAACATAAGTGAATATTTAATGGGGAGATTAAAAACCAAATGGCAATTAAAGGTCTTTTGCAGTCGGATGCTATAGCAACCTTGGTGCCACTTGGCAAAGGGCAGGGCATTAATATTTCAGAAAATAAATAATAGATTATGTCGGGGGGGGGGACTGGCTGGCCTTGATCCTGCTCTTCTTCTGCAGAATTCAGGAATAGGATGCCTGGGAGACAGTCTGGAAGGGCAGCAGCTGGTGTGGGACCGAGGGAGGAGGGGGAGTCTCCTGAGGGGGGCACCACGGCTTGCTAATGGGGGGTGATGACCTCGCTGCTGGTCTCAGAAATGAATGCCCAGGAGACCAAATTGGGATTGGGAGGTGATCTGGCTGGCTTTAGGGCACAGGAGAGCCCAGGCCGCCCCTTTCAGGAAAGGGAGGGGGCCAGCAGAGCCTGGGGGGATGGTGTGTGTGTGTGTCCCTGGACTCCACTCACTCTCTGGCCCTTTTCTCCTTGCAGGGCGAAGCCTGGAGTTCTGCCTGTTCCTGCTCGGCTTGGCGATCCCAGCCTTTGAGGGCTGTCCCAGCGACTGTGTCTGCTACCCATCGCCCATGACGGTCAGCTGCCAGTCACACAACTTCCTGACCATCCCCGAGGGGATCCCGGTGGACAGCGAGCGCATCTTCCTGCAGAACAACCAGATCTCGCTGCTGCTGCGTGGCCACTTCAGCCCCTCCATCGTCACCCTCTGGATCTATTCCAACAACCTGACCTTCATTGACCCCGAGGCCTTCCGCGGCTTCAGCCGCCTGGAGGAGCTGGACCTGGGCGACAACCGGCACCTGCGGGAGCTGGCGGCTGAGACCTTCCAGGGGCTGGTCCACCTGCACGCACTGCACCTGTACAAGTGCGGCCTGAGCACCCTGCCCAGCGGACTCTTCCGTGGCCTGCAGAACCTGCAGTACCTCTACCTGCAGGACAATCACCTGGGCTATCTGCAGGAGGACCTCTTTGTGGACCTGGTCAACCTGAGCCACCTGTTCCTGCATGGCAATCAGCTCCGGAGCCTCCAGCCCAACTCCTTCCGGGGCCTGGTCAGCTTGGACCGACTACTGCTGCACCAGAACCGGCTGCAGAGCGTCCCCCGGCTGGCCTTCCATGACCTGCGCCAGCTGACTCTGCTCTTCCTCTTCAACAACAGCCTCTCCGAGCTGCAGGGGGAGGCCCTGGAGCCCCTGGCCGCCCTGGAATACCTGCGCCTGAATGGGAACCCCTGGAGCTGCGATTGCCGGGCCCGCTCGCTCTGGGACTGGCTGCGCCGCTTCCGGGGCTCCAGCTCCTCCATCCCCTGCGAGGCCCCCCAGCACTTCCATGGCCAGGACCTGAAGGAGCTGCCGGCTGACACCTTCCGGGGCTGCTCAGCCTCGGAGTCCCTGCACCAGACCCACGGGCCCCGGCTGCCCCCCAGGGACCACCCGCCCCTCCTCTCTTCCACGGAACAGAGGGAGGGTGCAGCGGGGGGCCACGTCATCCAGTCTGGGCAGCGCCCTGGATCCCGCAAGACTCTAAAGAACTGCACCAAGAGCCGCAACCGGAGCAGCCGGCCAGCCTCTCTGGGCCCCTGGAAGAGTGCCGAAGAGGCGCAGGACCTGAAGCACCAGCCCAACCTGGGCCTGCTGCCCAAGCCGAAGGGCAAGTGCCCCCGGGCCCCCGTGCTGCCCCCCAGTGGAGTCCAGCAGGCTGCGGGAGGGGGCCGGAGCTCAGGCGACTGGGCCACGCTGACCTTCCATGCTGCTGTTCTCGTCTGGACCCTGGCCTTGGTGGTGATCTTCCGCTGACTGGTCCCACCTGGAGCCATGCTGACCCTCTGCTCTTGGGCACCAGGGTGTACTCTTTTTCCCTTTGGGAAGGGCTTGGCCGTGTGGGGCAGCCCCTGCCACCGGCCTCACCTCAGCCCAGTTGGCTGCTGTCCATGGCTACCCAGGCATGAGATTGCTCAGTTGGGACTGTCTTGAACCCTGGGTGCGAGTGGTGTGGGGGGTTAGGAGCCCTGCTAGCCCCTGCCTGATGCCCCAGCTGAGCTCCCACAGAAAGGCAAGGACGTCCCTGCCCCTCCCCAGCCGGCCTGGAGGGGCTCATCCTGAGCAGGGCGGCAGGCTCTGCCCCTCCCTGGCCTGTCCATTCTCGGCCTGAGGAGACCAAGCAAGGCCCCGGAGACCCCAGCCACAGCTGCCCAGCCAGAAGGACGCCTGCTCTCTTTCAGCTTCAGTAGGCCGGGGCTCCTGATGGACGGGAGGACCCCCATCTCCCCCTTGCTCAGGATGCATCTTCAGCCCTGGCAGGAAAGACCAGCTGCCGGCCGGACTCCCCCAGCCCACAGAAAGCCAGGCGGGCTGACTGGTCAGAGGGGGAACCTCAAAAACCTCTTGAGCGAAAGGTGTGTCCGTTCTTTTGTAACCTCTGTGTTCACACATAAAGTAAAACCGGTGCACAGGTTCCCGTCCTCCTTGGCCAAAGATGTCTTGCGTGATGCGCTGGGATGGCAAGGATGAAGCCAGGAGCTCGAGACAGGCAGGAGGCAGAAATGGGAGGGGGGGGGGGGGAGACCTGCTTCAGCGTCTGGCTCTTCCTCAGCTAAGTAGGGTGGGGGAGGGCAGATGGGAACCCTGCCGACTGGGGCTTGGAGCCCCCCAGCACAAAATGGTCCTTGTGCAAGGAGTGTTTGACCATCTCTTGGGGACAAAAGTTGGGGGTGGGGGATGAAGAGACTCCTCAGGGACGTCTGGAATTATTCACAACTTGCATTCTGGGAGGAGGTGGGTCTTGAGCTCCTGCAGGGGGATTGGTGGGGCGGTGAGGGCTGGGCCTGCCTGAGAGTGGGTGGAGGCCGTTAGGAATGCTGCGCTGGGGACCATTCTTGGATGGTGAATAAAGGGGCGGGGGGGGGCAGGAAAAGGCCTTTGAATTTCAGCAGTTGGGCAGGAGCACTGAGCAACAGGCAGGCCAAGCCAAGCCAGGTCCAATTTTGGGGAGTGGTCAGGCCTGCCTTGCACACCTCCTCTAAGACCCTCCCATCCTTTCTCTTAGCACTGGATGCTTCCCAACCCCCACCCCAGCAAACGGGACCCTCACCACATGAGGGAATAAAGCATCTGCCTGAAACAGCCATGGCTGCTGCCTCCGGGAAGGAGGGGGAGAAGCTGGGGAGACAGGGGGCTCTCCCCATCCCAGGAGCTTCAGCCCACCTGTTTCCACACAGGGTGGAGACAAAGAGGGAGGGAGGGGGCAACATCATACAGGGGGCCAGCCAGCCACATAACTGAAAGACCAGAAACGCAGCAGGAAGTGAGGAGAGGAAGCGGCAGAGAAAAAAGCTTGAGGGTCCCAGACTGGAAGCCCATCTCCCACTCACCATCAGGGGCAGAGTGAGTGCGTGGGGGGTGACCCACTGGGCTTGGGGGGCCCTGCAGCAGTGGTTGGCTCTTTCACAGAACAGTCTGGAATTGGGGCAGGCAGGGTGGGCAAGCTCTGGTTGGAGGTCAGTTTGTGGAACTTGAGCTTCAGGGGAGCATGTAATGGAGTGGGGGGTCCCTGAGGCACGTGGGGTCAGATGCCAAGTGGGCATCAAAGTAGGAGGAGGAGGCTGCGTTGGATGGGGGCTCTCCCTTCCCCGATGGTCTGCAGCAGGGAGTAGACCCCTTGGGCCTCCCCCCTTAGCTTGATGGTCTCTGGGCCCTTGCTCCCCACCCCATTCTCTGGGGCCCACCTTGGTATGCAAGCTGGAGGGCTGCTTTCCCCAGCCCCACACATTGTCCACTGGGCCCTGTGATGAGCCCAGCAGCAACAGAGACTGATCGGCCTTGTGCCCGGGACCGGCCCAGCAGCTGAGCCACCGGAAGGAGCAGAGCCCTGAGCAGGGAGCTATGATCTGCAGAGGGGCCCCTGCCGGGCTTCCCCCAGTCACCCGTCTCGGGAACATGAGAACCAATTTATGCCGTCAGATGGGTCAAGAGGGGTCTTCCCCAACCCTGGCCAGAGAGCGAGAACTGCACCATCAATGTGACCCCAGGCACTAAAAGACGTTCCTCTCCATGAAGGAAAACAAGCCTCTAGTCCTCATCCATCCAAACAGAGATTGTGTTTATTATGAACTTGGAAAATGCAGAGCAGTATCACATTAAGCTAGAATATACTTTGGTTTTGATCTGCGATAGATTAGAGCTCTGTCAATAAACTATGGCTTAATGTCGCTGTTAGTGGGGACCGACGGCGTCTCTTGCCAGGTGTGCATCTCCCCTTGAGGCACAGTGGGGGGCGGGAGGCAAGGCCTGCACATCTGCATGGGGAAGGTGAGTGGCAGGTCCTGCTGCTACCATCTTCCTGCAGGGGCCCCACAACAGCTGGAAGTAGTTTTCGGGCAGGGGGGGCTTAGCCCAATGAGTTGCCAGCCCAGCCTGGCACAGCCAGCAGCAGGTGAGCCAGTCATCCTCATCGGCTCAGAAGCCCACCTGGGCCCCAGGATGCCTTGCCCAGGAGGCGTCCTACTTGGACCAGCCAGAATGGGAGACGTGGCTCGGCAGGGAGTGCCCAGCTCGACTGGCGACAGGAGCTGGGGGTGTGGATGAGGGTGCCCAGGAGGGAGGGGGGCTAAAGAGTAAAAACCTGGCTTCAGGTGGAGGTGAAGGAATGTCCCGAGACCTGCAGAGAAGGAAAAATAAAAGACAGGACGGAATGTCAGAATTTGTCTCACCTCGGTTGTTCGTTCAGAAGGAGCCATCCAGAGGTTGGAACTAGTTGCGTTTTATGTTTTTAGAAACGGCAATAATGGAAAACCAGGGAACAGTTGGAGAAAAATTGTGCAACCCTCAGAATAAACGAGGTCTGGGGGAAAAGAGTGCCAGGACAACGGAGTGAACGGTGGCCAGAAGAGGCGTGGGCTGAGCCTGCCTTTGGTTCCAGTGGGGGGAACACAGAGGGATAAAAGAGATCAGCCTTCCCCACAGGCGGTAAAACAGGCCGAGAAATGTTTTGTAAAAATCTTCTAATAGTTAGGATGAAACACTGCTTGGGGGTGGGGAACCCTGTTTATCACAATGATCCTGGGGTGCCTGCCTTACAAGAAAGCCCCCCCACCCAAAAATGGGAAAGTGAAGATTTTTGTAGAATTTGGGGGCCACGAGACAGGAAATATTCTGGATCCACATGGCTGGCCAGTTCTGGGGAAGCTGGGCAGGTCCTTGTCCTCTCCCTTACTTGGCATTATTTCCATTTTTTTATCCTTAGACAACATGGGTCTTTCAGAGGGGCAGTAAAGCTCTGAAGTCACTGGGGGTTGAGATGAGGGTGGGAAGTGGGGCTTCTCTAGACTGCGACTGTCAGGCTGCCCCTGGGGTGGGCTGCTCTTCCTTGGGCTAGACAATATGGCCGGGGGGCTTTGTTAGGGGTCAGGAGGGTCAATTGGGGTCTGGGATTGGGATTGGGCCAAAAGAGGAACCCAGTGGGCCTTGGCCCTATCCAGAAGGCCACGTGTGTGTCTGTGTGTGCATGAGAGTTGTGGGGCTTGCAGTTTGTTTATTTAGGTTTATTTTTTCCACTACAAATATCTGGTCTGCTGTGCGGAGTTAATCTTTGTCAATGAGTGAAAAAGGCTGTGTTGAGGAGGGTGCTTATTGTGCCCACCCTTTCCACGGGAGACCTTCTGCTGACCTGAGGGGTATTCCATGCACGCCACTCACCCCTGGATTCCGGAGTCTCACCTGAACTCAGCATTCTGAGTATTTGGTCTACAGAGACAAGGACGGGGGAGGGGGGATGTTAGGTTGTGGAAAAGGGCCCAGACCCAGGATATTTGGGGGTCTGGGGAGGGAGGGGGAAGGCTGCACCTGGGGGGGGAGGGGAGCCAGTATGAGCTTGGAAGCTAATGCGTGTGTGTGTGTGTGTGTGTGTGTGTGTGTGTGTGTGTGTGTATGTGTTTGCTCTCTTTATCCTGCAAAATCACCCTGGGCTCCCTCTAGGTTTGGGTTCTGCTGAACTGTGGCTGGTTCAGAGCAGTTAGGCAGAACCTGCAGCTCATGGTGGCTTGTTCCAGAATCATAGGTTTAGAGGGGACTTCTAGACCAGGCCGGGATCTCCAAACTTCTGGAGAATTCCCCAGCCAGCCATGGGAGTTGAAGTCCACAAGTTGACCAGGTTGAGACATGGGACAAGGTGATCCTTCTGGGCCCTTCCAACGTTTACCCTCCCTCTCTTGGCCCAGAGAAAGGCTTGCGAATGGGTGACATGAGAAATGGGAAAACATCCAGGCCTTATCAAAGAAAAGAAAGCATGAATAAAAAGAAAGGCTGCTTAGTAGATGTGAAATGAATAAACTTTTTTTCCGGGCTTTGGATAGCCCCAAAAGGCTTCAGCACAAAGGGGACCCAGGTATTTGTACAGGCTCTTTCCTCTTTCCTCTGTTTTCTCCTGGGCCTCTTGTGTTTCGGTCCCTCTACACTTCCGTCTCGTTGCCTTGGAGGTCGGGCATTGCCCACAGATGACTGTTTGTGTAACACAGCTAGCCTGGGGGTGTGTGTGTGTGTGACTATTTGGTCCCCGGTTCTCTGAGTCAGGTCACTTGGGTGCTCTGGTGAAGCACCTGCTCTCCTCCGGATGTTTCCGGCAGCCCCCAAGCATTCATTCGTTCATTTCAAACGTGTATCTAGTTGCCCAATTCTGGGCAGCTCCCAATCAAAAGGAAAAAAATCATATTAATACCATAAAAAATAAACACATTAAAAACAAACAAAAGCAGCAAGTCATACCTCTGATTTCCAGTCATCTCATCTTATCCCAGTGCTTGGGGGGAAAGTCGGGTCTTCAGAACTTGACAGAAGGCCGAGGAGGAGGAGACCTGCCCAGCTTTAGGGGCAGTTCCATGGGGTGGGGGCTGGCAGGTCAAGGCTTCCTAGCTGCCATCAGATGGCAACATTCAGGGGAAGGAACTAGGTGTGTGCCCACCCTATCTGATGGGATATGGTAGATGTGCTTAGGGAAAGAGGGTCCTGCAGATAATCTGGCCCTGGGTCATGCCGGGCTTTGAGCGGCTCAGCTGCTCCCCTCCTCAAAAACTCTGCCTTGCTTCAGGCCCCTCCAGTCCTGCCCAGATGCAGGTCACCCCTCACCCCTCCTTTCCCCGTGAAGAAATCCGGAGGATGTGTGGATCCATCTTTGGAAAGCTGTTCATTGTGGGGGAGGAGGGGCCTCCATTCCCTGGACAGGCTTCAGCACCTGCTCACCTGGGGAGGCCACAGTTGGAACAACTCTCCTTGGCTGGCCTACTGGGCTGCAGCCTGTCCTCCATTCCTTCTGGGCAGGAGGAGGAGAACCAGGCAGAGAGCGCCTGCCAGGAGGGTCCCTTTCCTGCAGAAAGAAGCCAGGCCGGTCTGCCTGGGAGGGGCTGGCCTGGCCTTGCAGCAACCAGTTGCCTGAACAGACAGTCCAGAGGTGTCCCTCCCCCCCCACCTG